ATCTGCGTGAGATTGGCAAGCGCCTGGTCGCGCTGAATAAACTCAATACGGGGCGACCACGCATTGCCATACTCACGCAGGGCTGTGACCCCGTGCTGCTTATACAGCACGATTCGGTCCAGGAGTTTCCAGTGACACGTTTGACGGTGGATGAAATTGTAGATACCAATGGCGCTGGGGATGCATTCGTTGGTGGTTTCCTGTCGCAGTTTGTGCAGGGCAAATCGCTGGATGTGTGCATACGCTGTGGCAACTATGCGGCGGGTCATATTATCAAGAATCCAGGCTGCACGTATTCCGGTTCGCCGGAATTTGTTGAATAATCATCCAGAGGAAATATCCACCCATACAAACACACACCCACACACACACACACACAAAAAAACTACACACACAACACAATGAACCGACAAACCTATAAGAGGCATAAGCATTGCGCAAATAGTTTTGCAACTACTGCAAATAAGTTCGAAAAGTGACTAAGACAATTTTGTTAACACTACTAATAATTATTTGTACATATAATCTAAACTCACACACACACACATAAACACACACACACACACAGTTGGCAACGAAGATGTGAGTTATGCACGGCCTTGTGGTTTATATACAATGTTAGAGCAATATTCGAATTTAAATTGATAATAAAATACAAAACCCACAAAAACATTCAAATTTTGAAAAAGCGCTATTATGTTTGACTCTTAATAGATAGTTGTTTGACCTAGAAATGCCCCTTCGTAAACTAATTGATAGCAATTGTATGATTTATTCATTTAGCCAAGTGTTCGGCTCCGACTGTGCCGCAGTAAAAGATTAGGCATTTGCTACTGCTAACTTTCTTCCAAACACATTTGTGCGCTTTATGATTTGAGCTACTTAACATTTGAGTCAGCTATAAGATTAGTTAGGAAAAATTACAGCATTGACCCTTGAGGTGCTTGATTACACGCAGGTGTCATTCTTTTATTATTACTGTGATATATCACATCGTATCTGAGGTTGATTTATGTCTCTTAAGCATTCTTTGCAATCTGTGTTGATAAGCTTGTGTCTTATCTGTGATGCATTGAAATAATATATGATTTACCATATCATAATAGCAGGGATTATAAGGCCACGCAATGGCAGCTACAAAGCACATTTCATTTACAAATTATACTTTACAGCTTTCGGTTGACTTATTTTTAGCTGACAAAGAAGCCGACAAATTATTCACATACTGTATTTACTTATAGAGACGCTTCTGAATTTATTTCGTTGTTGAGAAATACTAATAATATAACATTTAAAAATCGTATATTACCTAGCTGAAAACAATACGAATAGTGTAGATAATAACAGAAAATGTTCTTCACTATTTTCTATGGTTCTTGTGTGCACAAACTTGAGTTTTGTATGGTTTGCCCATACAAAAGTATAGGAGACTGAGGGAAAACTATAGCTACATTTGTTGTTTGCTTACATTTGCATTTGTGTGGCTGACATACTTGATCCCCATATGGCTGCTATTCAATCAGATAGCCTTTGATAAAGGGCAGGCCCGTTGGCACTCGCTTCTGATAGCGCGCATAGTCCGATTGAAAGAAATAAAGCAGCGAGTATTCCTCAACGTAAATGCGATCGTGAAAGAATAGCCAGCTGACTAGAGCATAAATGCAAATACACAGCGGATTCATCAGTATTACTTGGGTGCCAATGGACCAATAGAACCAGCCCACATACGACGGATGGCGACTGTAGGCGTATAATCCATGGGTTATTAGCTTGTGATCCGTGTGCTTTTCGTCCTGCACCTGTTGTAATTTATATTCATGTACAAATATACTTGGACCAATTCAGAATATATATATTTACTAAATGCGTAAAGCTGCGCCCTGCAGTGATGATGGCAACCTTTCGCACAATTTCGCCGAAGGCGCATAATGTCACGCCTAGCAGCCACAAATAGGCCCAACGCTTGAATTCGGGCAAAAAATATAGCTCTAGGACAAACTCTATCCAACTGGCTGCTGCCGCCAGGCCATAGTGCACCGAATGATTCAGCATGAAGGAGTCCAGTGAGAGTGTGCGTGGATTTGCAAATGCAATAACCAGAAACTCAGAGTAATGGAAGAAGGACATGAAGCAGCCATATACGCCGAACTGCTGCCAAGGTACGGGCGCAAAACAAATGACTAGAACGCTCGCCGCCATGGTAAAGCCCAGAAAAGAGGCGCGAATGGCAACCTTAGAGATAACAATTACCAAGTTAGAGATACTGGGGCACTTGTAGAATGAGTCATCCCATACCTGATATTCCATGTTCCTGAGCACAAAACGTATTATCATGTTGATGAGGGCGTAGTACAGCATCGGTCCCCACAGGACGGCGCCCCAGACATTTGGCACAATCCCATAGTATATCTGAGGAACTGAGGGCACAAGCACCAGACCTGCCGTGGCCAGAAAGCAATACAAACTGATCCGGCCCTCGGAGCAGAGTTTGGCGTGGGGGCCTGTCGTTGCTGAGGGCCGTGAATTATTTGCGCACATTATGACTAAATCACAAAGCTTTTTATGTTGTACTTGGCATGAAACACATTAAAATTCGGATTTTGTATAGCATTTGCAGAAATGTAAATAAATAGCTCAAAACCGGCAGCGGCTGTGTATGTCAATAGCAAGTGTTTCTGAATTTAGAAGGTTACAGTGCAAAGTGCACTGTTCTGTGCAGCTACGTCAGAATATATTCAACATTATAAGCCCAAAGTCATACTACATTCAATGAACGGTAAATGGGTAACATGTTGCTTGCAGTTTTTATCATTTATTATCATTTACGTTAGCCGTCCTATAGTCGAAGAATTTTGTGTAAACAGGAAAAACATTCACCTTCGATATAACTTGTTGTCTGTCATTTGCAAATGTGGCGTTACCTTCCCAGATTTATGAATCTCCTCGCTATCCCAAAGTAATCGATAGTTGACCGAGCGATGTATAAAATTTACCGATAGTCAGCTGCGCGTGCACAACATGAGATTCGATAGGCTGGTCTGTGAGGGTTATGTAAATTAATAAATTGTTAATTAAATCCTTAACAATTGCTATACATATTAACAAAAAGAGTGTACTATGGTGTTTATAAGCATCCCCCTGATGGTGCGCGCCCGCGGCCCGGATGAGTTCTGGCGCAAAAGGCGTATTTTCAAACTCGCTGCGGTAAGTACCAAAAACAGAAGCTCATGAAATTATTTTGACCGGTAATTAAATTGTTTCAGCATTATCGCAGCCGTACGCGTAATGTTTATTCTTTTGCCATACGCAGCGTTCATCGTGCACTCGCATACGCCACCAAGGGCCGCAAGCTCAAGAAACTGGACATGGCTCAGCTGTGGACAACCCGCGTTGAAGCCGGCTGCCAGCAGTATGGAGTCGCCTTGGACACATTCAAGGAGGGCCTCGCACGCTCTGATATTTTGCTGAACAAGTTAGTTGGCGGCATATACACTTAATGGCTGTATATTAACAGATTTTCTTTATAGAAAAATGCTCTCCGATTTGGCTATTTGGGAGCCACGCTCGTTTGAAGCTTTGGTAAACATTTCCAGAGAACGGGCTGCTGTGGAGGGTCTGCCGGACATTAAGCGAAGGTCGGCCTTCAATCAGGTGTATGGGCTGAGTAATCTAAAGCTCGATTAGGCTAAGTGTTTGCATACAAATATAGTTTTATATATTAACTGAAGATTCATGTTTTATTTTTGTGTCATGCAATCAAAAACATTGCACTAAACGTTTATTGTAGGGGGTTACGCACTAATAGAAAACAGAATTCATAGAATTATTGGTAGCCATTTATTCTAATTTGGCCAAGATATCCGACTCGCGGAAAAGGAACAGCTCTTTCTTTTCATCACTATCCAATTGGACCTTGGTACCGCCAAATTCAGGCAGCAGAACGCGATCGCCCTCCTTTACACCAATTGGAATATGACTGCCAGTTGTCTAGAAAATGAAAATAGATTCAATCAATATTATGTGACTAGTTTAATAGAATGTTGTAATTGCCGCGCGCAATTATGAAATACTTACAGCATTGCGAGTTCCGGGTCCCACCGCCACAACAGTGCCTTCCAGCACTTTACCCACCGATTTTTCTGGCAAGACAATGCCACCTTTCGTTTTGGTAAGGGCTTCAGCGCGTTGCACCAAAATGCGGTCAAGCATGGGGATGATCTTCTTAATAGCGGCAGCCTATATACAATTGCGAATCATTCGATTTTAATAAGCAATTTACTGTCATTAATTTCACATATTATATTCCCCCCCGCCTATGGGCTAGGGCAGAGTTACACAACAGCCCGGCACGGTGAGTTATCAGCGTATGCAGAAACTTCGAGAAGCTCAAGTGAAATTCTTTGAACGCCACATGCGACTTAAGGGTTTTTAAATAACTCAATACTGTACTTACCATTTTTATGTAATTAAATGCAAACTGGAGCGCTTCGAACAGCTAAATCTTAATTAATAAATGAAAGTGAAGTCTCACTACACGTGCGGGCCGGTCGCAGTTGTTCGTAATAGTGATGCACAACCATCGTACAATTGGTATCGATGCTATTCTCTATATACGATGTATCGTACTATCGGAAAAAGCATTTACTCGACGTTTTGAAAAGAAACCCGTTGACATTTAGACACATAGAAGGAGGAATGCAATAAACTTTTACGAGTTGAATAGAATTCATACACTGGTCACAAAGTAAGATAAGCATATTGGCACTGTCCATGCACGCGAACGTTATTCGTTGATGAAACTAGGACTCCAAATGTATTAGTATTAACGTTTTTTTTTCTTGGTGTCGGCCTGCAAAAAAAAATCGACTTTGGACGAGTTGTCTATTATTTTTATTTTTATTTATAAAAATATGAATTTTAACGTGCAATTGTACTGGATGTCATATCTATATGTTGTATGGTTAGTGATTTAAACACAGGAACCCCCGAAAAAGAGATTATTTTGAAAGCTTTAAAGTAACTGTTTTGTGTTGCAGTCGGAAAGCCATTAAAACAATAATTAAAGAAATCTACATTGAGAGCAGAGTATTACGATGTCGAATGCACCAGAATGCAACGATACAACAAAGAAATGGAGTACAATGTATAAGATTGTAAGGGAATTGAAAATGCAAAAAGGAGACGTAAGGAATGTGTTCAGCATGCGCGTTTCATTTCAACATTAATATTAAGGAATTGCAGTTAGTCCACTGATGTTGATATTTTGTAGTATGGATCTATGCATTCGAAGCCAGTTTTGCTACCAGGTCTCATGTTCAGTGCCACCTCGTCCGATTTCTTTTGCTTGTTAAACTCGCAGCTGAATTTTTCCGACATTTGTTGCAAATCGCTACAAATATTTCCGTAGATAAGCGTATCGTGTAACTTATGTTGTAATATGGCAAGTTTTCCCAGGTATTGGATCTGACCTCTGGATAAAGGGCGTGCGGTGAAGTTACGCAGCGATTCGCTGGCCTGCAGTAATAGTAAGATATCATTTCAGAGCTATGCAGAGAATATGGGCTTTCTTACACTAGTTATCTCGTCGCAGGTCAGCTCGGACAGCGGTAGCTCGAAAATTAACGAAATGGCGTCCTGCAACGTGCAATTACAACGATCCTGTCGAGCTACGCACAACGCGACGAACGTGTCGCAAATTCCATTTATTCTTAGCTTGTGCTGATGGAACAGCAAATCACATATTCGATGGCTGTAGTGCATTATCTTTCTAGGATACTCCGCCTCCAGCAGCACAGATAGTTCCCGGAAAATGACTCCCAGCGCTTTCAGATCAAACACATACGTATTATTCGCGGTGGCAATAACCATGACGGATGTTATGCAATGCCGCCCATAGAAACTTGGCTCCACCAGCACCGAGATGATGGCTTGGTCGCGTATGTCGCTCAACGCCCTATGGTATGACTGATCCGTTTGCTGAATAACCACAATGCGCTTAAGTTTCTGCTGCAGGGACAACAGTTCGTGTGGCAAAAGGGGCGCACTTTTTATAGATTTTCTCTCCCAAGCGGCAGCTGTAGCAAAAGACTCTACGCTGTCATTGTCGCTGTTGTCGATGTCCTCAAAATTGCTATTGTCATCGCTCATTTTCTTATTTTATTTATTTTTTTTTACTGTGTTTTAAGTAAAGCTGCATAAATAAAAAAAAAAATTTATTTACAATACGAGCAGCAGAGAGATGACACACATCAAAAGTCCTTACATGGTGGCAACTCTTCAATAATAATCACCAGCTCAATTGTAAACAAACACTAATGTAAATTTGTAATAATCTGCTCAGCGTTGCCACAAATCTCAGGCTAAGGAGTGTAATTGTTGTTATGCGTATCTTCACATATATTGTAGGAAAACGCGTTTTTCTTTTACACACAATACGTCTATACCAGACAACATTAAGGTAAACGCGTGTGTCTAGTGCAGTAATTGGTTTATAATTGACATTAAACTCTGTTATAATTGCTGCGCAAATAACCTGAGCACTTTTACAGCTAGCGGTCGATCGCTTTGCGAATCAGAATGCAAAGAAAAATAACTGAACCATAGTCAATACAAAACACTGGCAACCTGCGCACATTTATAGTGTTTGTGCAATTATTACGATTAGCGGTAAAACACACAAGCAAAAAGTCAAAAGCATATGAGAAAGTAAACGGGAGATTGGCGAAGCTAGAATTAGTGATGAGAAAACAAACTTATGTTAAGTTCACATTGACAGCGATTTTCGATAAGCATACACTATTTACATATGTTCATATATGTACATATATGTACAGTATGTCAATAAAGTGTTTTTACTAACAAAAAAAAACTAATTTTTTGGGTTTAGTTGAAAATAAATGTACCTAAAAGTGAGAATTTTTTTTCAATTATAATTTATTTCGATTCTATATTTCTCCTAGAACTTAATGGCAAAAAGAATTGTTAAATAACATTACCCAAACATTTTATAAAATTAAAAAACTAAAAACATTCACATTTTATGCTGTCAATAAAGTGTTTTTACAGCTACGGTAAATTGTTTTGCCGTTCTCTTTTGGGTGATCCCGTTAGATTTGGGCCCATGCGTTTTGGCTTCTCTTGTGTCTTCGACTTTTCTTGTCATTTTCTATTGCAATTTATAACGTTTTGCTTTAATTTTATGAAAAATAAAATGCCAGGAAAAAGAACAACTTTTGAAGTCGCTCAGCTGGTGTATTATAACCATCAGATGGGACGTCAAGTCTCGGAACTGGCTGATATGTTTAATTTATCAAAAGCAACGATATACAACATATTAAACAGAGCCAATAAGGAAGATAGGCTAGAGGCAAAGCCAGTATGTGGTCGACCCTGCAAAATTTCTGACAGAGATAAGCGAAAAATTCTGAGAAAAATTGAGAAAAATCCACAAATTTCGCTTAGGGATATTGCTCAGGAGTTCAAGGAAGAAAGTGGTGTTGATGTGTCACATGAAACTGTCCGAAAATTACTGAATTCCAATGACTACACATCACGAGTTGCCAGGAAAAAACCTCTACTATCGGCGGCGAATATTTTGAAGCGGCTATCGTTCGCTCAAGTCCATGTAAATAGTTCGAACGATTTTTGGAGTAACGTCATATTCTGTGACGAAAGCAAGATGATGCTATTCTACAACGATGGGCCATCCAGAGTCTGGAGAAAGCCACTAACAGCGTTGGAAAACCGCAATATTATTCCAACCGTTAAATTCGGAAAACTATCAGTGATGGTGTGGGGGTGTATTTCGAGCAAGGGTGTAGGAGATTTGACCTTCATTGAGAATACCATGGATGCTAGACAATATCTGAGCATTTTACAGACACATCTCGTCAGTAGTGCACAGAAATTTGGATTCTATGAGGACAATAAGCCAATTTTTAAATTTTACCAGGACAATGACCCGAAGCATAAAGCTCATATGGTAAGAGTTTGGCTGTTGTACAACTGTGGAAAGGTGTTAGACACTCCACCACAAAGTCCAGATATGAATCCAATAGAAAATGTGTGGTCATATTTGAAAAAAAAAGTCGCAAAGCGGAGTCCAAAATCAAAAACTGATTTAAAAGCTGCTGTACTGGAAGAATGGCAGAAGATTCCAGAAACATACATACAAAACCTTATTGTTTCAATGAAACGGCGATTGCAGGCTGTATGTGACGCTAATGGCAGCCACACAAAGTATTAAAAAAAAATATTCCTGTTTTTTTAACATTGTTATTTAGTAATAAAGTTTCGTGTAAAAACACTTTATTGACAGCATAAAATTTGAATGTTTTTAGTTTTTTAATTTTATAAAATGTTTGGGTAATGTTATTTAACAATTCTTTTTGCCATTAAGTTCTAGGAAAAATATAGAATCGAAATAAATTAGAATTGAAAAAAAATTCTCACTTTTAGGTACATTTATTTTCAACTAAACCCAAAAAATTAGTTTTTTTTCGTTAGTCAAAACACTTTATTGACATACTGTATGTGTCGTATAGGTGAAAACTTGTGCATTGTTGATACGAGTACATATGCATGTATGTCATTCTGATGTGGATGTACATATGCACATATTTAAATGATCGAATTATCGCATGTGCCTTCATGTACATACGAGTACATATTTATGACATTATATGTATGTACATATATGTATAACATAGAATTATAGCATGTGCAATCATGTACATATGAACATACATGGCTGTGACAAAATGTTGGCCAATTCGATGCTTAAGCAAGAAAGCTTTCTCAATCAGGCCAATGGCCTAGAGCATTGCAATACGGCCAATTGACGATCTCGTCGAGGACTCATATAGATTTTGCAATATGATTTAATTTTCGAATTTACTAATTGCAATTGACTTTGGACTACATCGACCAGCAAAGCGACGGCCAGCCTTGCCATCGCCCAAATGGGTCCATCAAGCTATCATCTGGGATGATACTCAGAAGTTTAATGCCATGGCAGCCAGACGGCAATCGGACGACAGCCACATGCCAGCTGTGTGTTGCTAGGTTCCTGATGCGGATTTAATTCGGCTGCCCGTTATGTCTTAACCATGGCCAATTGTGCAATTGTCAAATGATCTGTTGATGTTATTTTCTTTAATCTTATTTAAGGCCACGAAAAGATTTTTAATTCTGAGACATTCGGCTTGTTGTACCCTTTATATGGGCATTTCTAGCAAAACGTAAAACAGATAAACGTTTCCTTTTTATCAATTTCATAGCCTTAGAGGGTGATATAATTTGGTTATTAAATGTGTAACGCTTAAAAGACATCTTCGACTCCACAAATTAGATATATTTTAGGTCAGCATTAAAAGCCAAGTTCATATTGCCATGTCCGCGTTTCCGTCTGTCTACAGTAGGTTTACAGTCTATCCACAGTCTGTCTACGTCTGTCTACAGTCTGCCTACAGTCTGTCTACAGTCTGTCTACAGTCTGCCTACAGTCTGACTAGAGTCTGTCTACAGTCTTGAAACTGCATGGGTCCGTCTTTCTGTTGGTCATATGCATGTCTGAACCAGCCGGATCGGATCATAATATAATATAGCTGCCATAGCCGGTCAAAAGTAGGTTCTTATATAGCAACATATTCTGTTTTCTTAGATGTTTCAATCAAATTCAACATATGCGAGCTTTACTGTTCTTAGATAACTGCAGGCCGTAAGGCAAATGCCTACAAGGATATTAAATCTTTCTAGGCATCATTTTTTTTAGGATTTTTTAAATTTACTTATGACAAATTTAAAGCAAGGTATTAAAAAACAGGACATAAACAGTGCCCAGTTTGGAATTGACTTATTATTCTGTTTATATATTAAAAAGTAAAGTTAATGTATACTTACTCAAAAATATAAGTCCACGTACACAATTAAATAGCAGAAAGTTGAATTTTTACATATGCACACACCTGAAAAAAAGAAGAATAGTGCATTAGATAAATTCATACATATATACATTATTTATTTAACATATAAGTGGAAGTGGATTTTAAAAAAGCTTATTGCGTAGGTTTCGAATATAGAAATGAAAAATAATTAACAGGATGTGGACCTAACAAAATGGGAATAGATGGTTTAATGTAAATCTGCTAGTTTTAAAGACTCTTGCTTTATTATATTTAACCTTAAGGCAAGTAATTTATGATATCACGTCTAATGATGTTATATTGCAATTTTTTCGAATTTCTATTTTATCTTCCACGTACCTGAAGTCCAACTTCGGGTCATACCTGAAATCCACACTGATTAAGAGACTTACAAACGCTAAGCGGCTGCGTAGAGAAAAGGTTAATTGCATTGTAAGCGGCTTGATGAAAAAATGTGGAGTTAACCACGCGGCGACAGACAACGTTGGCGCTGACTCAACTTAATTGGCGCACGAGGCGCATACTTAATGCGCTTAGATGCGGGCCAGGCTCATCGCATCGCCTCATTGGCATTACAGAAGCCGCTTTTGTGCTTCTAATTAGATCCAACGGATACCATTGAGTGCTGCAGTTTGTTCGTTACGCTCAGCCTGACTGCCAGCATCGAAAATTGAGCCCTTCAATAGACGAATTTCATTTAATGCGTTTGTTAAGTAAATTAGGTGTGAAAATAAGTGGAGTTTATTGTCGGTTTGTATGCGTGTGCAATGACTATGAAATGATTTTAATTGAAATTGCAATGCTGAAATGGAAATGGATATCTATCTGGCAATTTATTCTAGGAGAACTTCAATTCACTGAACTGATTAGCTCGAAATAGGACTTGCTTTAAGTTCCGCTTTTGCAAAATTGGTTCCCCTTTTCTTTTTTTTTTTAAATTCTATTTAATGCCAATCTTTATGCATATATTAAGGGATGAATTGATGAACGATGTGACAGCAATTTCCCATGGGTAAATGCAAATCGCAAACTGTCTGGCAATTCTAGAAATAAATGAACTAATTAAATATTCTGATTGTGCGACAAGCTACATATTTGATTATTGCAAATTTAATGCATAACATCGCCCAGGCCTTAGCTAGGGTCAAATTAGGGCAAGCTCTTTGGCACTGATTCGATGTCACAAGTTAAATCAACAAAAACATGCGACAACAGCAACCATCAGAGCAAAAGCAACATCAGCAGCAACAACAACAACAGTGATGATGATAAACACGCGATGACAACAAAAATAAATAAAACAAATATGCTTTGAGCGGGCGCATCCAACCATGAGATACCCTGTAGCGTAGCGATTGCTGTATTAATTATGTGAAAGAAAAAAGAAGTTGCCATGCATCCCAATCTTAGCTCTCTCAGAAACTTATTCTAATTATATCTACTTATTTATACTTATATATACTTAAATATTCCACTCAAAGGTGCTCACTTTTACTTGTTGTTAGCCAGCACACACTAACTTTATTCCACTCCGTTTAACTAATTTTATGGGTACAGGGTGTACTAAAATAAATGAACGACTGATTGTGTTGGCGGTTTAATACTTGTGCATGTGAAACATGAAAATGGCTTTGCATGTTATGTGTGCCGAGAGCAACAACAACAACAGCAACAACAACAACAACAACAACAAGAGCAGAAAGCACGTTACACTAATTACTCTAATTGTGCACGGGAGGTGTGGAAACACTT